AGACGTTATTTAGCTACAGGATCTCCAATCAGGGATGGCAAGACCAAAGGGATAGGAAGAAATGCAGAGTCCGGCTTTCCATAACCATGCAAGATTATGCTATGATGCAGAGAAATAGAGTTAGCATCAGCACACTTCTAGTACGATTTGGGCTTAAATATGAGGGCAGTCAATAAATGCTCTAACGTTCATGTCCGAATTGTCAGGTAGAAAAAGGAGGAAGTTTACAGTAGCTACTATATGCAAAATGTTTTAAATATGAGAGTAAGTGTGTAGTGCGTGTGATTGAAGTGAAAAGTTCAAGTGATAGGCCTCGTCAGACTGTGTTCAAGAGAGCTACTTAATATTTAAAATTAATTCGTAGAAAATACTCATTGATATTTTGGCAGATTTTGAATAATTCATATTGACACAACTGTGGAAAACACGGTGCATAGGTGGGATTTGAACGCTCGCATTAAGGGGAAGGCTTTAGCGCAGCCAAAGCTCTAACCACTTGAGTTACGAGGCCCCGCCTGACGACGCGATTTATTCAAATTTTTGTGATGTAACCCGCCCAACCTACCGCAACGTCTGGAATGCACCAAATCTGATAGAGTAAGTTGAAGGCCCAAGCAGGATTACCTAAGTTATTCACCTAGAATCCAACAGATTACTACCAGGCTCGCGTAATAATTGATATTATGGCAGATTTTGAATAATTCATATTGACCTAACTGTGAAAAACACGGCACCTTGGTGGGATTCGAACACACGAAGTAAGGGGAAGGCATTAACGCAGCCAATGGTCTATCCATATGATCTGAGAGGACCCGACGTACGACGCGAGTTTATTCACATTTGGGTCAAGTTACCCGCCCAATCTACTGCAACGTCTGGAATCCACCATATCTGATACTGTAGGATGAGTGCCCTAGCAGGATTTCCTAAGTAATTTGTCTAGAATCCACTAGATGACAACCAGGCTTGCGTAATTATAGATATTTTGGCAGATTTTGAATAATTCATATTGTACCAACTATGAAAAATTCGGCGCCTCATTGGGATTCGAACCCACTTAGTAAGGGGAAGGCTTTAACGCAGCCAACGGTCTATCCATATGATCTGAGAGGACCCGACGTACGACGCGAGTTTAATCACATTTGGTTTAAGCTACCCGCCCAACCTACTGCAACATCTGCAGTCCACCAAATCTGATAGAGTAGGTTGAATTCCCAAGCAGGATTTCCAAATTAGTTCACCTAGAATCTACCAGATGACTACCAGGCTCGCGTAATTACTGATATATTGGCAGATTTTGAATAATTCTTATCGAAAGAACTGTGAAAACCTCGGCGCCTCGGTGGAATAAGAACCCACGCAGTAATGGGAAGGCTTTAACGCAGCCAACGCTCTAACTATTTTATCTAGGAGGACCCGTCGTACGACGCGAATTTAATCAATTTCAGTCAGGTTTCCCGCCCAATCTACTTCAACGCCTGTAATCCACCAAATCTGATAGAGTAGATTGAATTCCCAAGCAGGCTTTTTAAAGTAATTCAGATAGAACCCACCAAATGATTACCGGGCTCGAGAAATTACTGATATATTGGGAGACTTTGAATAATTCTTATCGAAAGAACTGTGAGAACCTCGGCGCTTCGGTGGGATTCGAACCGAAGCTGTAAGCGGAAGGCTTTAGCGCAGCCTAAGCACTAGCCACTTGAGCTACGATGCCCCGACGGATGACGAGAGTTTAAACACATTTGGGTCAAGTTACCCGCCCAACCTACTGCAACGTCTGGAATCCACCATATTTGATACAGTAGGATGACTGCCCAAGCAGGATTTTCTAAGTAATTCACCTAGAATCCACCAGATGACTACCAGGCTCGCGTAATTATTGATATTTAGGCAGATTTTGAATAATTCGTATTGTCGCAACTGTAACAACGTCGGCGCCTCAGTGGGATTCGAACCCACGCAGTAAGGCGAAGGATTTAACGCAGCCAACGGTCTAACCACATGATCTGCGAGAACCCGACGGAGGACGCGAATTTAATCACATTTGGGTCAGGTTACACGCCAAAACTAATACAACGTCTGTAATCCACCAAATGTGATACAGAAAGTTGAGTGCCCAAGCAGGATTTCCTAAGTAATTCACCTAGATTCCAACAGATGTTTACCAGGCTCGCGTAATTATTGATATTTTGGCAGATTTTGGATAATTCATATTGACGAAACTGAGAAAAACTCGGCAACTCGGCGGGATTTGAAACCACGCAGTAAGGGGAAAGCCTTAGCGGAGCCATCGCTCTAACAACTTGAGCTACGCGGACCCGCCGGGCGACGCGATATAAATCACATTTGGGTCATGTTACCCGCCCAACCTACAGCAACGTGTGGAATCCACCAAATGTGATACAGCAGGATGACTGCCTAAGCAAGATTTCCTGAGTAATTTAACTAGAATTCACAAGATGAATACCAGGCTCGCGTAATTATTGATATTTTGGCAGATTTTGAATAATTCATATTGACCCAACTGTGTAATACTAGACGCCTCGGTGGGATACGAACACACGCAGTAACGGGAAGGCTTTAGCGCAGCCAACGCTCTAAACTCTTGAGCTACGACGCCCCGCCGGACGACGCGATTTATTCACATTTGTGTCAAGTTAACCGCCCAACCTAATGCAACGTCTGGAATCCACCAAATCTGATAGAGTGAGTTGACGGCCCAAGCAGGATTTCCTAAGTAATTCACCTAGAATCCACCAGATTACTACCAGGCTCGCGTAATTATTGATATTTTGGCAGATTGCTGTGTGTCCAAACACCTTTGCTGACTCTCTGAAACATTCCGAGCTTGATAGACCTAGTACGAGCGGTAGAATCGATTCATCCATCAGAGCTACAGAGTTCTCTCCGCAGTCTTCTCTGCCAAGTGCTTCTTCCAAGAGTGTTAACATAAGAGTCAAACAAACAGACGGCGCAAGCGCATCTGCTCCACCATCACCAGCGCGTAGTCCCATTGTGTTGCGTCATTTAGGGAACCACAATTCCGTAGAAAATAAAAAAGAGACCGACGGAGAAAAATGTCTTATTATTCAGGGGCTCCCTGAATCAAGTGCAATTACTCCCAATGAGCGAATTTCAGAAGACCTATCACTCTTGCAAGGTCTTCTCAATAATATTTTGGAATCCACGGAGGCTATTGAAGTGATCAAAGCCTTCCGCCTTGGAAAACGAGCAGATAATCCATCAATGTCCATTCGTCCTTGGCCTCTTAGAGTTGTGCTGGCCAGCAGCGACCAAGCCAGTCTCATTTACTCCAGGCGATTCAGGATTAATGGCTCCAACCCAGGTGTTTTTTTTCAATCGGACTACTCGCCAGCCGAACGGCTCAAACGCCGTCAGCTAGTTCTAGAACTAAGAAAGATGCTCAGCGAGGGGGAGAACAATTTAGTAATATACAACAACCAAGTACGGCGGCGTCCGTCACTCTTCCTTTGGACAGGTCCTGTCCGAATGACCGCGCAGCCGACATATTAAGTGAAGTCGCTAACCCAAATATAACCCCATCTTCCATCAGCCGGAAATTGAAATTCTTATACACCAACGTGCAGAGTTTGCTATCAAATTTCGACGAGCTGAAGATCCACCTCTGCGTCCTATCCCCTGGCGTAATCTCTTTAACAGAAACCTGGTTGGCCCAACACGTGGACGACCGTGAGCTGGGTTTGCCTGACTACCAGATATTTAGAAGGGATAGGGAAGGGCGTCAGGGAGGAGGCGTACTAACTTATGTAAAATGGGCTAAATGTATCAGACAGGACCGATAACTTTTCGTGCAGTTCCGAGGCAATCTGGTTGTCTATTAAAGTGCCGAGCTCGCCTAGCCTCGATGTCCTGACAGTTTATCGACCGCCGAGACGGGACAACATGGCCGACGCTCGCCTGCTGGAGGAGCTCGAAAAGTTCGCTACGCGGCCGGATATCCTAATCATGGGCGACTTTAACGCGCCTCATATTGACTGGAGTTCGACCCATGCAAATAGCTCAGAACAGACCTTCGATAGGAGTTTTCTGAACACGGCACTGAAGCTATTTCTCACTCAACACGTCATGTTACCAACTAGAGTACGCGAAGGTCAACAAGCCAACTGCCTTGATCTTGTCCTTACGAAGTCACAGGACAGCATTGATGAGGTGTCATGCCTACCCCCCTTAGGTAAAAGTGACCACGTCGTTCTTCTATGGGATAACTCGTTTTTTTCCATGCCCAAGACACCCGTGACAGTTAGAAGAAACCTTTTGCGTGGGGATTTCGACCAAATGAGGGCTGAAATTTCACGCATTGAGTGGGAGTCCATATTTGTTGGGACCATACTCGAAGACTGGCAACGGTTCCGAGAAATTCTGCACGAACTGATCGTAAACCACTGTCCGCTTTCACGGAAGAGGTTAATTAACAGACCTCGATGGCTTACGCAAGCCTTGAAGAATGAAGTGAATAAAAAACGACGGCTGTGAAAAAAATCGCTTTCTGACAGGAGCCCCACATCTATATGCGCGTACAAAATTCAAAGAAATCGAGTCAAGGGCCTTATCCTCAAAACTAGAAGGGAATTCGAACGGGATCTGCTTAACCGTGCCGCGGAGAACCCTAAATTATTCTACGGTTACATTAGGCAGTGCACGCGGAACAAGGACCCAATACCTCTGCTAAGGACTGCTGAAGGCGAACATCTCACTGACGACAGGGAGAAAGCTGATCACCTTTCAGAATTTTTTCGGTCTGTTTTAGTAGCGAAACAGTATTCAACCCTTCGGACCCTCAATCCTTCGAAGACACCCCAATTATAGAGACCGTCCAGTTCACTGAGAGTATGGTTCTGACGGAGTTGCTGTGGCTAAAGGAATCCAAATCACCAGGTCCCGATGAGATTCCGGCGAAGATTTTGAAGGAACTCGCCGGTGAGTTGTCTAAGCCACTCTCCATGCTTTTCCATACATCCTTCGAGACCGGATATCTGCCACCCGACTGGAAGTCGGCGTGGATTACGCCGCTGTACAAGGGCGAAGTCGGGTCTCTGCGAACAATTACAGACCTGTCAGCCTCACCTCCATTTGCTGTAAGATTATGAAGAAGATAATAAAGCAACAATTAATGCAGTTCCTTGAACAAAACCATCTTTTTTCCGATTCCCAGCATGGATTCCGCAAAGGCAGATCCTGTGTGACAAACCTGCTCTACTGTCTGGAACACTGGACTAGGGCTGTTGATAGAAGACATATGGTGCATGTAATCTATATCGACTTAAAAAAGGCCTTCGATAGTGTGCCTCACCACCGCCTTCTATACAAACTTAGCCGTGAAGGAGTGCGAGGTAAGCTTCTGATGTGGATTCGAAGATTTTCAATCGGCCGCTCTCAAGTCGTCTACGTCGGTGTCCAACAATCTGCCGAGGTTGCCCTTAAGAGTGGTGTTCCCCAAGGCCCTGTTCTTGGCCCTACACAGTTCCTCGTATACGTCAATGACTGCGCAAACGAACTGAATTGCGATGTCGCAATGTTTGCCGATGACATAAAGATCTGGAGTACCACACGAAGCGAAGATGACGAGGCGCGACTGCAGACAAATCTGGACCACCTCGAGCAATGGTCGAAAGACTGGCTTCTACCGTTCAACGTAAACAAGTGTAATTTCCTACGCGTCGGCAGAACCAGTTCTCCTAACCACACGGTCTACCGTCTGACTGGCAAACCACTGCAAGAAGTCGACGCCCAGAAGGACTTGGGTGTATGGATCACAACCTCGCTTAAGCCTTCCCTGCAATGTTCAAAGGTGGCCAAGTCGGCGATGTCCATTCTATACCTTGTCAAACGGGCGTTCTCCTCCTTTGATGAAGACTGCTTCACCAAGGTCTTTCAAACTATTGTGCGACCGCATCTGGAGTTTGCTATTCAAGCATGGCGACCCTGGACCGCTAAAGACTTCGGCATACTCGAAAAAGTTCAACGGCGAGCAACGAAACTTTTATCTGGGCATTGGTCACTACCCTACGAAACACGATTAGCTAATCTTGACCTCTTTCCTTTGAGTTACAGACAGCTACGTGGGGACCTGATACAAGCTTTCCGCATCGTGCGCAATCAGGGATGCTGCCTCGCATCTGGAGACTTCTTCGAGTTGGCGACTACGATTAACCTGAGAGGCCATCCACTCAAACTGCGTGTGGCTGGTGCCCGGCAAGACCCGAAAGTTCTTATACTCCAACAGAGTGGTTGTAGCTTGGAATGCCTTGCCTGAGAATGTTGTTATGTCGGGCTCCGTAGATACTTTTAAACGGAGGCTAGATCAGCATTGTAGCGCGCACCACAATAACGCCGGACTACGGCCACCTTGACAGCCAACGTTGACAATTTACCGTTATAACGATGCTACTACACGCATTTAAGTAATATATGCTTATGTAATTTATTAAGTTTGGGCCACGTCGCACACCGCAGTTCGCATTCAACACGATGACTGTAGACTGAACAGTTTTACTTCTTTTCCCGTATCTTAAGTGAGCCTTAACTGTCCGCTGTATTTGATCAACAAAGCAAGTTAATGTGCCTCTAAATTCTGTTAACGCATGACATTCTGTGTTCATCTGTACAGTTTTTACTATTCCCCTCGCATTTCTTTCATGTTACTTCCTTTCCATTTCCTCCATATATATCCCCTGCATGTAACCAATAGGGATTTCAAAGGTACACACCTACTTTACCTGAAATATACTGATACTGATACTGAACTCATATTGACCCAACTGTGAAATACTCGAGGCCTCCGTGGGATTCGAACACACACAGTAAAGGGAGCTACGAGGCCCCGCCGGACGACGCGAGTTATTCAGAATCCGCCAAATCTGATACAGCAAGTTGACGTCCCAAGCAGGATTTCCTAGGTATTTCACCTAGAATCCAACAGATGTCTACTAGGCTCGCGTACATACTGATATTTTGGCAGATGTTTAATAATTCATATTGACCCATCTGTGAAAAACTGGGAGCCTCGGAGGTTCTCGAACCCACTCAGGTAGGGGAAGACTTTAACGCAGCAAACACTCTAAACTATTGCGCTACGGAACCACCTGGACGACGCGAGTGTAATCATAGATGTGTCAAGTTACCCGCCGAATCTGCAGCAACGTCTTGAATCAACCAAATCTGATAAAGAAGTTGATTTCCCAAGCAGGATTTCCAAAGTAATTAAAGTAGAATCCACCAGATGACTTCGAGGCTCGCGTAATTATTGATATTTTGGCAGATGTTGAATAATTGATACTGACATAACTGTGAAAATCTCGACGCCTCGGTGGGATTCGAACACACGCAGTAAGGGGAAGGATTTAGTTCAGCCAACGCTTTAAAATCTCGTGATACGAGGACCAGCTGGACGACGCGAGATTAATCACATTTGGGCCAAGTTACCCGCCCAACCTACTGCAAAGTCTGGAAACCACGAAATCTCATACAGTAGGATAAATGCCCAGGCAGGATTTCCTAAGTAATTGACATAGGATTCACCAGATGACTATCAGGCTCGCGTAATTATTGATATTTTTGCAGATTTTGAATAACTCATATTGACCCATCTGTGGAATACTCGACGCCTCGGTGGGATTCGAACCGACGCAATATGGAGTAGGCTTTAGCGCAGCCAACGCTCTAACCACTTGAGCTACGAGGCCCCGCCGGACGACGCGAGTTATTCAAATTTGTGTCAAGTTAACCGCCCAACCTAATGCAACGTCTGGAATCCACCAAATCTGATAGAGTAAGTTGACGGCCCAAGCAGGATTTCCTAAGTAATTAACATAGAATCCACCGGATGACTACCAGGCTCGCGTAATTATGGATATTTTGGCAGATTTTGAAACATTCCTATTGACCAAATTGTGATAAACACGGCGCCTCGGTTTGATTCGAACACTCGCAGTAATGGGAAGGCTTTAGCGCAGCCAACAATCGAGCCACTTGATCTACGAGGACCCGAAGACGACGCGAGTTTAAACACATTTGGGTGAAGTTACCAGCCCAACCAACTGCAACGTCTGGAATACACCATATCTGATACAGTATGTTGACTGCCCAAGCAGGATTTCCTATGTGATTCACCTAGAATCCACCAGATGACTACCAGGCTCGCGGATTTCATTGATATTTTCATTGATATTTTGGCGTGGGTTCAAATCCGCCGATTCGCCTTGTTTTTCACAGTTGGGGCCATACTAATTATTCAAAATCTGCCAAAATATCAATAATTACGCGAGCCTGGTATTCATCTTGTGAATTCTATTTGAATTACTTAGGAAATCCTGCTTGGGCAGTCATCCTACTGTATCAAATGTGGTGGATTCCAGACGTTGCATTTGGTTGGGCGGATAACTTCACCCACATATGATTAATCTCGCGTCGTCCTGCGGGCCCTCTTTGCTGAAGATGTTACAGCGTTGTCTGAGCTAAATCCTTCCCCTTACTGCGTTGGTTGAATTTCCTCTGAGCGCCGAATTACTTACAGTTGTCTATATGAATATACAATATTCATATGCCGTTTTAAATAGATTCGTAAGGTATTAGCTATGCGATGATTGGTAGATCGCCATTCGTAGTTACTCCGCCTTACTTAATGACAGTGCAATTCATTTCTTCTATTCAGGATTTGTTGCCGCTGAATCAGACAACGTCATCACTTTGTTAGCACTATCGTTAGAGAGCTGTGAACGGCTTTTTTCCCTGGTGAACTAGGTGGTTGTGTTTATTAATGCCGTTTTATTCTTTACTTCTACGTCTCTCGGTCTCACGGGTTTAATGCAGATACGAAAAATCAGCGAGTCGTTATCGACATGACTAAATTTCCAATGTCCCCAAGTGGTGTCTCAAAACAAACTGTACGCTTACGATAACAGTCTGTGAGCAGATAAAGGAATTTTAGTAAGTTAACTGCTTTTGCATTCACAGACGAAGCGAAACTCCGCTTGACCCGGGGACTGGAAGAATAAGCTAGACGCGAATGACCAAACATGCAGCAGCACTACGAAAACGCCGCGACGTCTGCCAAGTCGTGACTGGTCCGACGGGACCCGACTGCACACTGAAGTTATATGAGGCCAACGTTTTCGTGAGATGTGACACTTTCATCAGCAGAGTACCACTGAAATAAAGGTTTTCTGTCCGTCAGTGGATTGCTGGGCGAAATAACTTCCCGCTCATCTATTCTGTGCTAACATTACCAGGATAGATCAATTAGTTACGCGGCAAGCACCCGAGCAATCCCTTTTCACAGTGCCCTTGACGGTGAACCAAGTGACTCAAGAACTCTCGTGGATGATGGCATCTCGGAAATAAATTACTCGACTGCGAAAAATAAAGCACTACACATAATCACTTACGATGTATGGTGTAGCCGACAATTTCCATCGGCGGGCAGTGGCATATCAACGGTATTCTGTTTACGCCACAGTACATCACTAATGGATTCACGTTTAAATACAAAAATGGCAGGTAAATACAAAGGGCGTTTAAATGATCGTATCTGCTTCTTCCACTAATGTTAATTTCACGTTGTTCAACTAAGTGGAGCCTACGAATCAGTAAATCGTTAAACAAAAATAGAGTACACTGGTGATAGACCAGAGTTTAAATGCAAAACTGTCACGGTAAATCCATTGTTATTGGAAAATTCGCCAGAGGTTATTGTTAAAACCACAAAGGCAAATTAAAGGAAAACTTCAAATCAAGCATAAAATTTGTTCTATGGTGATGTAGACTTTACGTAACAGACTTTTGATAGCCATATTCACCAATCACAAAATTGTCTCAAAAATGTGGAGAGTGGCAGACTAAAGCCGAATGCGTTTTAAAACATTTAGAACCCCCAGCAATTCCATGAAAATATTTAGCCTAAAGAAAAAACAAGATGCAAATAAATGCGGAGATGAACCAATCTCAGAAATCAAAGTAGGGTATGCATAACCCATGATGGCTCTTTAGAAATTCGAGAGTTTCCGAATCCCCAATTCCCCACAATTTTCACTAAATTATTTATTCTTTTCGCTTTTCCACTTCTTCGAAGATCTTTGGGACCACGCCCTTAAGCTGGCTATATTACTCCCTTGCTCCCCTAAATCGTGCGTGATAAGCATTTTTCTGTAGATGATTGAGCGTTTTCGTGCCCTCGTCCACGTGCAAAACCTGCCAGACTGCATTTCTGGATCAGATTTTGTCCCTCTGAGAACTGTCCATTATCTCAATGACATTTCGTTTTTCGACTGATCGTGCAAACTGTTCGAAGAATATATAGGCAGCGGCCTGGACGCTTTCTACAAATTCACTTCTATTCATGTTCCTCCAACTCCTTGGTCTTCTGTTCGTTTCTCAACTTGATTGCGCATATGCCAATGGTCAGTTAGTTCTGTGTTTGCAATTTACCTTAATTAATCACACCTCTCCTTATGAGAGATGCGCATGTGTGCATTTAGGGACCCTAACACGAACTCTACTCATGCTGCATAGAGTCGGTCTTAGGTGTCAGATTAACTGAAATAGAGCGTTAGTTGGTTTCTCCATCCCCAAAAACCACGCAATTTTTGCAAAAAATTAACACTTCTAAGTAACCTTCCGAGGCATCGAGTAGCCTTTGCCATTATTCTGACTAAGACTGTAAACGGTGGTTGTGTGGATTACTACTATTAGCTAGTCATGAATGTGCATTTAGTATTTCTTATCTAGAAGCTCAGATTTGGGTTAGGAAGATGGGCTATTTGAGTACGCCAGATTGCATGCAATTCGTAGCTTCTGTGTAAATAGGGGAACTATTAACTTTAACTGGCGTTAGGGTACACAAAGTCTCGATGGAGTACTGCAACTGAGCAAATTCATGCCGAATAAATGTATCAAAGTATTAGTAGCAAGTCATACTTGGCACATATCCTAGGGGAATCAGCTAAAAAACAATCACATCATATTCAAGTAAATATTTCGGTTTGAAGAATATATATACCAAATAATTCGCCACATTGTGGTCATTGCCCTCCGTTTTTAATCGCAGACACTTGCGGCTGGTCGGCCACATAAACATAAGGTGGATATTGACAAATAGTACTGCTATCCAAACATCGTCATCCTGGCGATATCCACAAGGACAAACATTTATTAGGATTTCCCCTGGACGAGGGCGCATTTTCAACAAGGCTAACTTGGTAATAAATACTCCGAGTTCATTAAGCATGCAACCACGACTCGCAAATTGAAGCTCTCTTCGCTGCATACACTTTATGATTTTGCTCTTGAGGAGGACAACGAGTTTGCATTCAGGTGAATAGAAGGTATGAGAAAGATGCTTACAAATACACAGGCAGACCCTTACGACTCGGGGTTGATTAGGAGAAGGAAGCAGGTTTACCGTGAAACGATGTTCGGCGTAAAAAGAATATGTTAATAATAGGTCTAACTGTGTTCAAGTTATCACAGATATGATTTGAAGAGCATTATTTTGACTGCCAGCTTGACAAATACGCTTAAGAAGTACCAACAAAAAAGAGGATTAATAAACACATGCCTGCCAAATCAAATTCCGACTGTGCTTACATTGTGGGGAATGAACCGACACTCATTATGCGGGTCTGAAATTTGTAACGCCCTTTTTTGTCAGGAGGAAGACAAATTGCAAGAGACCTTACCGCATTGGCTCTTAATTCCACCGCCATCCGAGTGGCATGGAAGACACCAAGTCCTCCAAGTAAATTCGGAGACCAGTATCTGCTTTCAATCTACAATGAAACCTATGGGCGGAGCTACCGTGTGAGGAGGACGGAGGAGACGATAACCGGTCTGTCGTCTTGCACCATCTACAACCTCACCGTGCAGGCCTTCTTACCAAATGGCTCGCTTGTCCGTGCGACCGCCTTCACTTCCGTACAGACCCTGGCATGCGGTAACTGGCAATCGCTTTTACTGCCTTATGCTTCCAGGTTCTATGTCGATCACTTTACCTTGGCTGACAATTACACTGCAGTGCACCTGGGGCTAGCCCATTGTTTAAGTATATTTTCGAACTCCAATTTACCAGTCGACCTTCCTTAATTTGCAAGACGGTGTCAGATTGTGATTGGGTAACACTCTACGGATCATGTACATGTCTGAAGAGTATTCCAACTGCGAATATACCATTTGACATCTGCGGCATATCTTGCAGAGGAAATTGCTAATGCATAATTATTACTCAAATCAACTTTGTTACTGTGCCATTGCATGCTGGTAGGTGTTTGTAACAGCTTCGGACATCTTTTGCACAAAATACCTTAAATGAACTTTTAGGCCTCGCAAACCCACAAGGCCGTTAACTTGTAAATAATCTTGAAATATATGGTAATCCTAGTTTCATTCAACGACTAGATTTGTTTCCAACGCGACGCAGGAGTAGAGGTTCCTGGTGTGAATTTATTGAAATATCTCGATGTGGTGAGAAAGCAGAGTGCGAAGATACTTACGACAGAATATACTTTTAAGGTTTGACGTCATTTTGAAGTTTAACTACCAAGCTAGGTTGTAACGACTATTCACATTGTGCGTTATTCTTAAAAGATAATAAGAATATCAATAATTGATATAGTTGGACGTCGTCTGGTCGAAGAACACAGACCAACTGTTACAACGAAATGCGGGTTTGAGCAATTTTTAAAACGTTATGCCAGTTTTTTGAAACAAGTTATCATGAGTGCAATGACGTAAGGAGGTCCGCATCTAGAAACGCTAAATAAGAACGACTAACTAAATCTACATTAGATGCGCTAACTCGTAAAATGCTATCCGAATTTCAAAAATGCCTTTTCGACTCGAGAAGGGTATTTAGGAAGGGTTGTGATAAGGATCATCTTACAGCATAATCCTAAGATAATACAGTTACCTCATGATGCCAGCATTTGAGCGAATTCCTTTTTGGCCGCCCGCAAATTTATCTTCTGTAAAATGAGACTACTTATACAACTCAAATTTTTCCCGTTGATTTTGAGTGCCCTTACACATTCAAATATGTTTCACAAATAACATCCAAAAATATTCATTTTCTTATTCATTTGTTGGGAAATTACGTCTTCTTTGAATTTTTACTTGAAAGAGGTTTATAATTCATCATTCCCAACGTTTCTAATTATGAGATTTTTTAAGAGCGTGAAATATCCATTCATACAACATTGCACCTCTGCATTAACTAGTTTTTCTTGGAAAGTTTACAGTATGGTTTAAATTTACAGCGGTTGGGATAAGAAAGGTCAAATGCAGCCAACAGCATACAGGCTAGCCAACGTACGTGCGTTCAGCACGGTGATAATATGAGGCAGACGGCAAGTCTAAAAACGTCGAGGCTGGCAGGAAACGCCAGCAATAACTCTGGTAATGGAAACGATAGAGTTTTCGAAACGTCAGTATAAATACAACTTGGTCCATGAAACCGCCTTCTCTCCTTAGTCATCTTCGGAGGTGATAAACACGGTCGTATAAATACAGTGAGTGAGCGATCTCGTGAAATGTTGGCTGAAATTCTGAAACGCGTTTTCGATAAAGAAGGAGTACTTAAGTGCGATTGTAGTACTTATTGTTTTGCGGCATAATCCTATGACATAACGAACTCATCAGGATGTCAACCTTTGAATAGACTGCTTTTCAAACGCCTGTATAGACCGTGCCCGGTAAAAAATGACTACTTATGTAGCATGCATTTTTCCAATCGATTTTCGATGGTCTTGCAAATTCAAATATATTTTAAATGGGCCACGAACAAAAATATGCTTTCTTTCGGTCATTTGATAGAGAATCACGTCAACTTTATGTTTCATACTCAAAGGAGGAGTATAATTAGGTTTTAAAAAGTTTCTCTCTATGAGATATTTTAAGACCGCCCAATGCCTATTCATATAACATCTTACCTATCCCTTTACCACTGCTCTTCCTGAAATGTAAAACATAGTCCGCATCCATTGCAAACATTTTTGAACACTATATCATATTTTTATAAAAGCGTAGAAAAATGTGCGATTTTCGTTACGCGGAACACATGCACCTTGTAAAATAAAGTCACTAAGCGCTAATGCAACGACTGATCAGGCTTCAAATTATTCAGCAATCAGAACAATTTTCAAACCCCAATTATACTTCTTTTTCGAATATCAAATATAAACAAGACGTGATGCTCTATCAAATGACCGAAAGAAAGCATACTTTTGCTCGTGGTCTATCTAAAAATATTTGAATTTGCAAGACCATCGACAATCGAATGGAAGAGTTAATGCTACTTAAGTAGACATTTTTTTACCAATTATGGTTTCTAAAGGAGATCAAAAGGCAGTGAACTCAAAAGCGGATATCTTGTCAAGTCCGAAATATTACAGGATTATAACACAAGATAATCAGTATTAAAATTGCATCTAAGTAATACTTCTTAATCGAAAACGCATTGCAGAATATCGGGCAGATCGGTCAATCAATCTATGTATATACAGTGCATGTAACCATACCGATATATATATATATATATATATATATATAGTGGTAGGGGGCGCTCACCGATCGTTCATACGGAACTCACTCGTTCCGTTGTGCCTTAAGAGCTCTCTCTCGAGCCCAACCAGCAGCGGCTGCTGGTTGGGCTCGAGAGAGAGCTCTTAAGGCACAACGGAACGAGTGAGTTCCGTATGAACGATCGGTGAGCGCCCCCTACCACTGTATATTCCCGATCGAAAACCGACAAGGCAACGGGCTCGTGGCCCGGTGAGTAGAGGCGTTGACTTCTAAACCAACAGGTCGCGAGTTCGAGGCTCGGGTGTTCCACACTTCGGGCTTGGGTGTGGCTGGCTGACGACGGCTAATAAGCCAGAAATGGCCATTCCAGTCTCCCTTGTCTTTGTCGGTAATGTTATTCTGCCTATATATATATATATATATATATATATTACGACAGTGGGCGCACGCCGATCAGGTGACGGAACATGCTCGTTCCGTTGTGCCTTGGGGCTCATACTTAAACCCTCACAGGCAGTCGCACAGCGACTAATAGTAGACATAGATGAGATGGAGCCGACAAAGACAAGGGAGACCGGAATGGCCATTTCTGGCCATTTCTGGGTTCGAATCTCAAGTTTTCAACACTTGGGGTTGGGTATGCCTGGCTGATGACGGCTAATAAGCCAGAAATGGCCATTCCGGTCTCGCTTGTCTTTGTCGGCTCCATCTCATCCATATATACATATATATATATATATATATATATATATGTATTGCTGATTGAAGCAAAAATGCGCGTTCCCGGATATAACTGAGAAGATAAGGCGATCGCAGGAACCATAGGTATATTTGCCTGACGTTTCGAAAGCAAACAAGCTTCCATCATCGGAGGTGGTTTGCGTACTGCACGTCACAGTATTTATGGGTTTTTGTTCTTCGTGCTGGCGTGTCACTGACTGCCAGCGCGCTGCATCTCAAGGCTTGGCGATTTGTTGTCATGGCGGCAACGGTTCCTCCTCATTCTTTGTCGGGTGTGAGAAGGGGAGCGGCATCAGGGCGACCGCGGCCATTGCTCTTGTTTGCATTGTCCGTTGTCTGCCCTCCGCGCATCTCGCCTTCCTGCCCTGTTCGCACACGTCCGTACACGTGTGGACGGTGGTTACCATGCTAGTGTTGACGTCGGGCTGGGGGTGCCTGTCACTGTCGTGGGTTCCCGCCTCGCTGCCCCGTTCATACCTGTCCGTAACTGTGTTGATGGTGGTTGTCATGCTGGTGTTGACGTCGGGCTGCGGGGTCCTGTCACTGTCTGGCGCTCTCCCCAGGGGCTGGCGTCTGTCTGTGTCCAGACCCAGAAGGCGGTCTCCTAGGTTTGTGTTCGTCGCCGGTTGTCCCCTGGTTTCGTCGGTTCCCGATTCCTGTCTATGCCGTCTGTGTTCCCGCTGGGTTTGGGTTCGACTGCTGCCGTCTCTGGCCTGACGCCTCGTCGGTGGCCCTGCTTATTGAATTTCGCCCGTAAGGCTTGATAGGCGGCCGGCAAAGTTACGCAGCGGTTAATCGAGGTAGTTGTGGTGTGCCAGGCTTCGCGCGTCTCCCTGACCGTTTGATCGCTCCCTTGGCCCAAGACTTTGGCGTCTTGGAAGGCGAAGGCATGGTCGAAAGCCGCGCAATGTTCCGCCATCAGCGAGAGCTGATCCATTCTTCTCACCGCTCTTGCATGCTCGTCCATGCGGGTCTGCAATCTCTTCCCAGTTTCCCCAACGTAGTTGGCTTCGCAGGAGGTACATGGGATCCGATAGACAACATTGGCGGTTTCGCCTCGTGGCAGGGGCGTTTTTGGTCTCATGACCAGACGTGTAATTGTCGCTTCGGGTTTATGGGCGATGCCGATACCCAATGGTTGCAAAATACGAGCAACTGCCTCGGAAACATTCGCAATGTATGGCAGCGCTCGCCAGACTTTCGGCTGATTTGCCGTTGACTTCATGGTTGTTCTGGACAGTCTACTGCGTTCAATAAAGCTGCGGGGGTAACCGTTGGAGGTGAACATCCGCCGTAGATAGTGAAATTCGGCTATCTTGTCGGCCGGTTCGCTGCAGTGAGTGTCAACTCTCTTGTAAAGAGATCGAACACAGCTTCGTTTGTGACACAGCGGATGATTGCTGTGGTAGGACAGGACCTGGCGCGTGTTAGTGGCCTTTCTGTAGACCGTCGTTTTCAGGCTCCCGTTGACCTTGCGATGGACCAGAACGTCTAGAAAGGCGATCTGATTGTTGTTCTCTGTCTCCATGGTGAATTGAATATCGGGAAGAACAGAGTTCAGTAGCGCGTGAAAATTCAGTGCCATTTCCCGTTTGATAACGACGAAAGTGTCGTCCACATACCGCGCCCAAAACTTTGGTTTGTATGTTGCGAACACCGACGTCTCTAACCTTTGAAGAACAGCTTCAGCGATAAAACCGGATAGTGGTGAGCCCATCGGCGTACCTTTGATTTGCTCGTATACCGTCCCTTCAAATGTGAAGAATGTTTGGAGGCAGTATTTAAGCAGTTGGACAAGGTGTCCCCGCTTCGGGGTATTGTTTGCCTCCGTGTATTGGTCGTCGAGGAGGTCGCTGACAGTTTCAATTGCCAAATCCTTCGGGATCGAGGTGAAAAGCGAGGTTATATCGAACGACACCATGACCTCGTCTGTGTCAATTTGCAGCCCTTTCAGTCTTTCCAGGAAGTGGACGGATGAACGGACTGTCGTGTCGGAGCCCGAGGTGAGGCAGTTCAGGCGTCGGAACATCCATTTGGCCAGGTTGAATGTGGGTGTCCCGCGCAAAGACACGATGGGACGGAGTGGGGCACCAGCTTTGTGTATTTTGGGCAGCCCACAGAACCTTGCCATGGCAGCATCGGTCGGTTTGGTGGCCAGTCGTTCTGCCCTGCTCATTGCGCCATTATTTTGTAGCATGGTGAGCGTCGTGTTTATTTGCGTCACCAGTTTCTTCATCGGGTCCCCATCACATTTGACGTACGCTTGCTTGTCCTCAAGCAAGGCATTGGCTTTCTGGAGGTACTCGGTCTTGTCAAGTATAACTGTCGATCGCCCTTTGTCTGCCGGTAGGATCACGATACTCTTGTCCGCCTTCAGCGTCCTGAGGGCATCCTGCTGCGCTCTCGGGATGACCAATCGCGGTTTGTGTGTCATAACCAAGGACGTGACTTGTTGCCGAATGAGGTGTTGTGTCTCAGCTGGCTCTTGGGAGTGTTTTAGGACCGACTCAATCGTGGCCACGAGGTTCACCGGGTCAGCGTCCGAGATGTTGAAACCGGCATCATGCCTCAGCACCTGAATCTGCTCTGGCTACAAACACAGAGAAAATACTCCACTACAACAGCAACCATCCGCTGTCGCATAAACGCAGTTGCGTCCGGACACTTTTCCGCCGCATCAACACGCACTGCAGCACAGGGGCCGAGAAGCTACAAGAGCGTGCGTCCCTGTGGCACCTCTTCCTTGTCAATGGATACCCAAGTAGCTTCGTAAACAAATGTCTGTTCCGAAGACACACAAAACTGACGGTGAGGCGAACCAAAAACCTGAGGTACTCCGTGTCTTGCCCTACATGAGGAACGTCTCTGAGGCCACTGAGCGTATGCTAAGACCACTTAACGTGGGCGTTGGACACCGACCGGAAGCCACCATCCGCCGATTAGTCATGCAGCCAAAGGGTAGGCTGCCCCCTGAGGACATGTCCGGTGTCATTTACCGCGTCAACTGCCTAGACTGTCAGGCCAACAATTGCGGCATGACAAACAAACGACTTCAAACGCGCATACATGAACACACCTTAGCCGTCAAGCGGAAAGATGCGCGCTCACACGTCGCCATGCACAGTCTGGAAAATGACCACCGGTTTGACTTTGACGGCGCCCAAGTGCTCGGCCGAGCGGAAAACAGACTGGCGCGAGAAATAATCGAGGCCTAGAAAACAGACACCAACTCCATCAACCGCTGCGTCGAACTACCGGCACCATACGAGGCCGCCAAACACCACCTACGAACCAGGGGAGGCCCAATGAGGATAGAAGTTGACGGCCCTATCAGGCGAGAGCGAGAGGGACCTATTTAACCCGTGTAATTTTCTAATATTTCCTATCTCCGATGATGCGCTCGAGTATGAGTGTGAAACGTCAGATGAATAAATCATCATCCCCAGAGCTCGCCTTACCATCTTCATCAATTTCAACACCTGGGGTCAGCATTTTCGCCTACATCCATATATATATATATATATATATTGGAAGGTAGGCATCCCAAGAAATATAAGTCGAAGTCGAACGCGTGCTTTGGGAAAGGAGGTTTATTGTGCAAATTTTCGACGCCGGTTCCCCGAGTCGTCGTCAGGCACAGACGGAAAGCAAATGAGTCAACACAGCTAACACTTAAGATGTTAGCTGTGTTGACTCATTTGCTTTCCGTCTGTGCCTGACGACGACTCGGGGAACCGGCGTCGAAAATTTGCACAATAAACCTCCTTTCCCAAAGCACGCGTTCGACTTCGATATATATATATATATATATATGTTGGAAAGGTAATACCGACAAAGACAAGGGAGACCGGAATGGCCATTTCTGGCTTATTAGCCGTCATCAGCCAGTCATACCCAACCCCAAGTGTGGATCACTTGAGATTCGAACCCGGGATCTTTGGTCATGGAGTTGAACGCTCTACCATTGAGCCACGGGCCCGTTGTCCTGTCGGTTGTGATCGGGAATATTAATTATGATAGTGGGCGCTCACCGATCAGGTTGCGGAACATGCTCGTTCCGTTGTGCCTTGGGGCTCATACTTAAACCCTCGCAGGCAGTCGCACAGTGACTGGTGATATATGTTGGAAAGGTAATACCGACAAAGACAAGGGAGACCGGAATGGCCATTTCTGGCTTATTAGCCGTCATCAGCCAGTCATACCCAACCCCAAGTGTGGATCACTTGAGATTCGAACCCGGGATCTTTGGTCATGGAGTTGAACGCTCTACCATTGAGCCACGGGCCCGTTGTCCTTCACTCTGTACGCGGTTTGAACATGCGGCATGTCTGTTCATGCTGACGCATTGCGTCAAGCATACTTATTTTACCCTTCTTACTGACAATGCATCCGTGTTCGCAACTCACGTCTTCTGGCTGCTGATGCAGATAGTGCAGCAAGTTAGTTCGTTGGCAAAACCGTTGTAGACTTGCAAACGGCCAAGTGTCCTGCCGGACAAAGGTGTCGTAAACTCCTCAAAAAAGGTCTTTGTCAAACGTAAGCAATGCAACATTTGATTGCACGGAGCACAATCATGGAGTTTTTTGCAGCCTTGTTGGCCTGCAGTGCAGGTTCCATGACGCTCAGTAAGCAAACAATGAGATAATTGTGGGAAGATTCTGCGGGTAGTCGAATGACACCACATATGACTACGGGGACAGAGGTTTCATCAGAGAAGTTTGATCTGATCAGAAGAAGTAAGTGATTTTATTAAAAAGCAGTTATGGTAAGGAGAAAGAAAAGCAGGCAAAAGCCAGAATATGAAAGAAATGTAGTAGGATAAGATGGGCCATTGAGATTAGGGCTAGATTTGGCGAAGGAAGCACGTCTATCATGAAACGAAATATGCCCTAACAGAGGATCTGTTAATGATGGGCCTACTTGTCTTCTATATTTTAGCTGCTATATATCGCACAGCCCTATTTTGACTGTGATTTTGACTAACTCCATCAAAATATGCCTTTTTGAAGAAGTGGACAGATAAATAGGTGCCTGCCAGATCATCTATGAAGTTTGCTATTATTTTGGAAAATGAGACGACAGTCATGCTGCGGGGCTTGACATTTGTGACGTGCTTCTTCTTTTACGTAGAAGGGCAGATGCCAAGTAACCTTAGGGTTTCGGCTCTGAATTCCACGGCCATCCGAGTGACCTGGAAGAAACCAAGTCCTCCAAGTAAATTCGGAGACCAGTATCTGCTTTCAATCTACAATGAAACCTATGAGAGGAGCTACCAGGTGAGGAGGACGGAGGAGACCATAACCGGTCTGACGCCTTCCAGCATCTACAATCTCACTGTGCAGGCCTTCTTCACAAATGGCACACTTGTCCCTGCGACCGCCTTCACTTCCGTACAGATCCTGACACGTGGTAATTGGCAATTGCTTTTACTGCCTCATGCCTGCAAATCATTTCGTGCATCCACCTTCTAGGCAGATTACTCTCACCGCTATGGCAATGACACTTCACTCCACCTCGCGCTAGCCCATTGCATAAGTACATTTCTCACTTCCGATGTCATAGTGGCCAGATAATCTACTTAAATCTACAAAAATGTGTAAGGTTGTGATTGAGAAAAAAACATCGTTAGAATACATGGCATTTCTTTCAGTTTATTATTGGCTTGTATGTTTCAGAAAAACTGCGAAGCAGTCCCGTAGCACGAAAGCGTTTTATCTGTTCATAATAGCAGCGTGCTCTGAAAGCCTCGATATATTTACGGGGTAACGTCCTCTCAAGAATTGTCTCTGAACCTTATGTCCAACAGCTGGATTCCGTGAAATATTTTTTCCGTTGCCGAATACTCTCTTTGTTGTGAGCTTGATTGCACCTCACATCAGCTGCAGCTCGGCCTCCGCCGACTGATTTAAAACTGCATCTGACCAGCAGCTTGGGCGTAACACTGGCAATATTCTTCTTACCAAACACCTAATGATTCCAACAGGAGTTCCTGAGGGCCAACAGATTAGCTATCCGGATCTTGTGTTCATCATATCGCTAGACAACATCGACGTTGTGAGTTGCCTTCCCAATTAGGTCAGAGTGACCGTGTAGTTCTCGTCTGGGAATACACCTTACTCTTTCTGCCTGCACAGCCGCTCGATTTCCGACACAGTATCTGGCGCGGCGATTTCGAGCAGATGAAATATATACCTTCATCCTATCGACTGCGCATCCACATTCTTCGGCGATATCGAAGAGGTTTGGTGTCAGTTTAAATACACACAGTAGATCATGTCTCTGATGATGGTTTCGAGCAGGAATCCGAAACATCAGGCTAATAAAGCTCTTGTCCCAGCGATCGTGTCTCCTTCTTCAATACAGTAGATGCGCTAACTCATGAAATGTCAACCAAAATTTCGTAATGCGTTCTCGTTTCCAAAAGATAAATTAAGTAGTGTTGTAAAACTAATCATGATGCAGGATAAATCTTTAATGATCCAGTTTTCCTCAGGGTGTCGGCTTTCGAAAGAACTTATTTTCGCCTGCATGCAAGATCTATTCTCTGCAAAAAATATCTGCTTAATTAGTATGCAATTTTCTAATTGATTTTCCATGCTCTTGACAATTCAATTATATTTCATGGAACGCATGCATAAAAATATTCATTCTTTTACTTATTCGGTAGAAAATCACGTCTTCTTCCAATTTATAACTCAAAAGAATAGTATAATTCGTTTTTAAAAAGCTCTTCTAATTCCCGAATAATTTTGAACCCGACCTGCTGTTACACTTGCATTCAGGGTTTCACATCTACAAGCTGTATATTTTCCTTGTATGGAAAACCATGCATTTCTCTACGGCGTTAATAGGAGACCATATGAGTTTCATAAAATGAAGCAGTGGATTTGAGCAATATTGTTAACCTTACAAGCCACATTCGCAAATGCAGATACATGATGTTTCATAAAAGGCACCTTAAAGGTATTAAATATCTCACAATTAGAAACTTTTCAAAACCAAGTCATACATTTCTTTTGAGTAATGTCTTGGACGAAGACGTTATTTTCTACCGAATAAGTAAAAGAATGAATATTTTTATGCATGCTTTCCATGAAATATAATTGAATTTTCAAGGGCATAGAAAATCAAGGAGAAAATTGCATACTAATTAAGCAGATATTTTTTGCAGAGTATAGATCGTGCATGCAGTCGAAAATAAGTTCTTTCGAAAGTCGACACCCTGATGTAACTGGATCATTATAGACTTATGCTGCATCAGGATCAGTTTTACATCACTACTTAATTTATCTTTTCGAAACGAGAACGCATTTCGAAATTTTGGTTGACATTTCATGAGTTAGCACATCTACTGACACAGACACATCTCCAGTCACTGCCCAATCCTGCGAAGGAGACGAATGAACAGACCATGCTGGTTGAATCCGTTTTTAAGAAGGGAGTTAGTTAGAAGAGAAAATGATGGAAACGATCCCTTATTGATGAGACGACTGAATCCCTGAATAGTTGCAAGTTACGGAGAAACCTAGTCAAAATTCTTATAAACAGAGTTCGCCAGGTATTCGAAAATGATCTGTTAAACCGCGCTACGTTTAATCTCGAAGTTCTTTGCCGTCATATAAGGCAGAGTACGCGGAACAAAGATGATATACCACTTTGAGAATGGCCGAGGGTGCGGAAATCTCAGGTGACAAGGATAAGGCTGAACATCACTCTCAGTGCTTCTGATTCGTAATGTCGTGTGAACCCGATTTTTTACCACATACTCGTTAAAACGAAGAAACGCCTATCATTTAAGCAGTCCTCCTCACCCAATCAATCCTTCCTAAATAGCTGCCAGGCCTGAAGGAGTCGAGGTTCCCAGGCTCTGATGCAGTCTCAGACAGGCTTCTGAAGGATCTAGTCCTCGAAATGTCCGAACCGTTAGTTCTGCTCTTCCGGACGTCATTTTTTACTGGGTGCCTACCCTTCTATCGGGAGTCCTCTACCGCCATTCCGCTTTATGAGAGTGGAAGTAGAGCACATGCGAATAACTACGGGTCAGCGAGCCTTACCTCCATTTCTTGAAAAGTCATGGTGAAAATCACTAAAAAAGCGTTGATGCAGCTCCTTGAGCAGAATCACGTAGTGGTGGTTCCTGCCTC